AGGCTTGTAACTGTATTTAGTTTCTGCCTTTTCTTCAGTTGCCATGCCAAGAGTTTGCCACATTTATTTGCTGATTCAAAAGTCTTTTGCTTCATTTGCTTTATCTTCCATTCAATCTCTTGGTTCATCAATTCCATATATTGTGTTTGATACAACTTAATCTCTCTTAAGATATCCTGAGACTTTGGTTTTGTTCTTAATTTTCTCTCTCCTTCCTTTATCATTTCCAAAATCTTTTCTTTTTTCTCATTCTGTTTTTTCCTCTTTATTGAATTTTGTTGAATCAAAAATCCTCTCATTACCGCCTTACTTGCATCCCAGATCACTCTTTTCTCCACGTCGGTCCTCAGATTTATTTCAAAGTAATCTTTTAGGGTCTTTTGTGCCTTCGTGAGAATCTCCTTATCTCGAAAGAGGGTGTCATTCATTCTCCATCTAAATTGACCAGTTATTGTGATTTTCATCTCCATCTTCACGGCGTTATGGTCGGAGCAAGTTTTTGGGCAGATTTCCACTTTCTTAATCTTTGGGGCCATTCCACTAGTAATCCAAATTTGATCGATTCTGGTCCAGGTCATCATTGCTTGGGAGAAGAAAGTTCCCTCTCTCTCCAGAGGGTTCCTTGTTCTCCATATGTCTATCAAGTCCATATTTTCTGTCATTTCAAAAAAAGTCTTAGGGAGTCTCCCTTCCTTGCTAACTGTTAGTCTTTGTGCCTTGTCCATATTGGTGGAGACCACGCCATTCATGTCTCCCATGATTATCATATTGTAATCCAAATAGTCAGTCAGGGTTTCATGAAGTCTCTTAAAGAAGTCAGATTTGCCTTCATTCGGTGCATAAATTCCAACCACTAAAAATTTTTCTCCTTGTACTTGTATCTCCACTGCCAGGTATCTCCCTTGTTCGTCCTTGAATATCATTTTTGGGGCCCATTTCTCTTTCACATATATTACAACTCCTCTTTTCTTAACTTTATCTGATGAAATAAATTCTTGTCCTAGCCTTTTGTTTATGAGTAGTCTCCTGTGGGTTCTGGTTATGTGGGTTTCTTGTAAACATATCAGGTCCAATTGTTCTCTGTTCAATATATGGAATACTTGTCTTCTCTTCAAAGGCCCATTGAGAGCCCCTGCTTCGTTTCCTGGCACAGCCGCAGGAACCAAATTGGACCAACAGGACATGCTGAAATGCTTTGCCAGTCTATGCTACCTGGACTAGAAACATAACAACAGCAATCCATTTGGAATTTCTGTGGGTAGCTTTCCTCTGCAGCTACGCTCGGTTGGGATTTCAGTAGTAAGTCCTGTGTCGTTCAAGCTATTTGGTGAACACAAAACAAGTGAAGAGGCCGCAATATAGGGAATGAAACAAAATGAGGTGCGGCCATAGAAAACATACAAGTGTGCAAAAACAAACAACCGGAAGCCAACTAAGTCTTAATCGGTGTTGAACAAATATGCAAACATTCACTGCTCGTGAGAAGGTAAGGTCACTAATTTACTTCCCTCAGTGTGGAAGATCTTTCCTTGGGGATATAAGCCTTTTCAAGATGACACCAGAGAGGGAATGAATGGGTGGAGAACAGGGGTGCCCACTTGAATAAAATATTGGGGGGCGAGGCAGGTAATCCCCACCCTGTATAATGGATCACAAGATGCAGCGCGTGCAACCCCCCCCCATTTGCATGGCAAGATCCATCAACTTAGGGGCGGCCATCAAATATTTTATATGGGGGGCCGAAAGGACCTCGACAACTAGTAATTAGCTCCTATGGTGAGGCAGGTCACATGCATGCATCTGAACCTAGGCCAGGACCAGCTAATGTGGTATTCTCCATATGATGTTGGACTACAATTCCCAGCTGTCTCAGCTACTATGGTCAATAGTCAGGGATAACGGGAACAATAGTCCACAACATCTGGAGGGCACCATGTTGGCTACCCCTGGCCTAGGCATGTACAATTTGTACGCGTGAAGGCATTGCACTCAGGTTCAGATGAATGCACAGAGGTCAGTGGGTGTGATTCTCCCTGCCCCAGCCACATGCACACATTTTCCAAGCATTCGTTCTTCTTTAGTTTTTACCTGAAAGGGGTTATAAGTGTTCAGACCCCTTTCAGGTAAAAACTAAAGAAGGCAAGCAGTGATGACAAGAAGGGTTGCCAATTCAAGAGTTACCCATAGACACCACTGTGCCCATCCAATGCCACCTTCAAAAATGTCTCAGTAAATACGCCCTCAGAAATACAGATTATTTGCTCTTCCTGCTCAGTTCCTGTTTGCACTGGCTTCTCCTACATTGAGTGTGTCCTCTTAAACATGCCGGCCTAAGGTAAAGTAAAGGACCCCTGGACAGTTAAGTCCAGTCAAAGGCGACTATGGGGTTGTGGCGCTCATCTCTCTTTCAGGCCAAGGGAGCTGGCGCTTGTCCACAGTCAACTTTCCGGGTCATGTCGCCAGCATGACTAAACCACTTCTGGCCCAACAGAACACCATGACAGAAGCCAGAGCACACGGAAACGCCGTTTACCTTCCCACCACAGCAGTACCTATTTATCTACTTGCACTGGTGTGCTTTCGAACTGCTAGGTTGGCAGGAGCCCGGGACAGAGCAACGGGAGCTCACCCCATTGAGCATATTTGAACCTTCTGATCGGCAAGCCCAAGAGGCTCAGTGGTTTAGACCACAGCGCCACCTGCGTCCCCTATGGCCTACCAGTACTTGACACCCACTCCCCTCTCTCCTGCTTTCTTGCATTTCAGTCCTTGGGGAAAGGAAGGCAGAAAACAGCAAGGGAGCAGCCACCAGCAGTAGCTGTGCAAACTATCACGAATCATATACCGGTTCCACATCATTGCGCAAAGTTTAATTAAGAAAATAAAAATCTGTTCAGCATGCCTCCTCAGGGAGGTAGGGGGAAATACGTAACACAACCTTTCTACTGACAACTGTTGCAAAATCCAATGTTCTATACACAGACGTTTTGAATAGAAGGTTAAGTAGGAGCTTGCAAAGCATACAAGCACAGAACCTCCACCACATCCCTTGAATTTAACAAGGGCCAAAACAGGCAACTACCAAGGGAAGCAGCGCGATTGGGATATGACTATATATATATATATAATTATTATATATAATAATTGGCAGAAGGCAAATTCTGAGATTGACCGCTAGATGGCAGTGCTGCTCTACCTTTTCAATCGAAAATGTTTCCCTGGAATGGTTTTAAAGTTCAGACACACTTTTTAAAGTTTCCAAGTGGGCAATGGCAGCAGCTGCCCCTCAGAGGACTCCCAAGCAGAGGGGAGAGGAGGCTGAAGGAACGCTCCACAAGGAAGGGTGTTCGAAAAGGGAAGAGGGGCTGCTGGCTCTGCAGGCAAGGGGTGACATAACTGAGCGTCTGAGGCTCAGAGTGCTTTTTCCCACAGGGGAGCAGCAGAAGGAATGCCAAGGGAGTCACTTCCTCTGCTCTAAGTTATCTCTCCCATACTAATCTCTCCCTTTTTGCATTGTAATCACCTGCCTGGGAAAGAATCTCTAGACCACAGCCAGTTCAGCAGTGGGTGGATCAGCCACAATGACTCTTTGCACCAGCAGCCCTTGGTGCAACCTGAAATCTGAGCACCTCCTTCATTCAGCATTCCATCTTAAGAGTATAACAACTTCAGACTTTGTGGCTTTCATCCCATGCCAGCATTTCCTCCCCTTCTTCCCCCCCACCCCTCTATTTTGTTTCACAACCAGCCTGAAGAAGAGCTCCGAAGAACTCTGGAGCTTGATCACTGTTTCATGTCGTTTTGGTTGTTTCTAACCAAGGTATCACCCCTTGGCAGATTTAGTATTACTCTAGGTGCTAATCTCCACAGCAGTAGTGTTTCATTATCTTAAAAAAAGCAGGGAGGTGGAAGAGGGAACTTCTTCTAATGGATGAGACAACTAAGGCAAGTGTTTTATGCCTGTGACTTTGCTCGTCTCAGGAGAATTGCTTTATATCCCTGTTCTAAATCCAAGGTAACTTTCTCTGAAGAATAACATTATGGGCCCTTGGGATCTCCATTTTGTCAAGGCTGTAATTTCCCCATAGCAAAACTTTCAGGAAGAATACAGCCAAGAAGTAAGTGGAATCTGAGAGAATGAAAACAGTGCTAGTGTCTAGACATGAACACATATGCAGGGCAGCAGAAATCACACTTCTCACATGTTCAATATTCACATCTTCACCATGTTTGGAGCACAACCATCAAATAATAGACATTTATCCATCTTCCTCACTGTTATGTCATATTAAGGCTGGATCTACACAGATATGAAAAGCACCATGAAGAAAAACCACTATTAAAAAAAAGAAAATGGCTCCCAATGCCATTTAACAGTGACTTGCAGCTCTATAGCACCATATAGTGTCACATCTTTATAACACTCTCATAACGTTAGAATTGTAGCTGTGTAGCTGAGTCCTAGGAGCCCAACTACATGTTACACTCTTTATAAAAGTGTGCTTAAGCTGGCCTCTTTAATTTTGAAGGACCAGGAAGGAAGGTGTCTGTTTCCGCTTCTACAAGGTAAGGCCTATTGACTAGAAACATGCCACATTGATTCCAAGGGCCTTGCTGCCACTTTCTGTGTTTGCAATAGGTCTTTAAAATACAAGAGCTGGTTCATGGAATACTTTGCAAAAAGTATGTCAGGAATTCCAGGCTTCCAGAAATAAATGTGTGAAGTGCAACTGGCATACCTCAGCCCCAGTGATGCCCAATTCATCTGTTCTAAGTGTTGCATAGGAACCAGATTCCTTGGTGTGTCTCTGTAAGGTAAGTGTGTGTGTGTGTGTGTGTGTGTGTTTTATGTGGTTATGGCATTTTGCATCACTTTAAACTCACATCACTGAATTGCATTTGTCATTTTAACCCCCTTTTTAGGTGTCTTTGATGTGACCTTGTTACAGCAGAAAGTGATGTTTTAATGAATAAACTGATAAACAATTGGTGGTACTTACCTTTTCCTAGAAAAACTGCCTGACTTCCTTGTTACCTCGACAGTTTGTCACTGATGCTGGGATGCTTTGACAGCTCTTGCTTCTAGGATTGCTGATTCTACGAAAAGATGAAATTAGAAAATTTGGTAACATCACCAGAAATGCCCAAAGCTTCTACTTAAAATATTTTATTTGTGAGGAATCTGAAGAGTGAGGCACTCGTTCTTTTCCCCAGCTGTTAAAATAACATGTGAACCAGCTTTCAGATTCCAATTCAAAATTTCACCTTTAAAGTAGCAAGCATAGATGTTTATTTCTCCAAGGCAGGCTTAGCCTTTTCCCTAGCATATTAACAAACACTATTTGCCAAGCTGCACATCTTTCTTCAAGCAGGAACCAGTTCCATCACATTTCATTCTAGTTTAATCCCTTGTTGTTAGGAGAAGCGGAAAATGCAATTAAATGCACTTTGAAAACTCTTTCCCCAGAGTGCTATTTACCATATTGCCTACGCTAAGCAACCCTGGTAACATTTTGCATCTCCTGACACCCTCACCCCCACTTATGTGCTAGCTATGTGGAAGTACGGGAGAAGGAAGCGGGGAGACAATGTACAATAGCAAAGGCTACACAGCTGCGATGCCTAGGATAGATAAAGGCACCATTTGCACTATGCATTTAAAGCTGCATTATACCACTTTAAACAGCCACAGCTTCCCCTCAAAGAATTCTGGGAGCTGGAGTTTGCTAAGGGTGCTGAGAATTGTTAGGAGACCATAATTCCTGCAAAGAGCTACAGTTCCCAGAGTGGTATACAAGCCAATCCCCCTTCGCAGGGAACTCTGGAAATTAGTTTCAAGTAATGCCTCTTGTCAGGATGCGGGTGCCACTGTGGGTTAAACCACAGAGCCTAGGACTTGCTGATCAGAAGGTCGGCAGTTCGAATCCCCGCGACAGGGTGAGCTCCCGTTGCTCGGTCCCTGCTCCTGCCAACCTAGTAGTTTGAAAGCACATCAAAGTGCAAGTAGATAAATAGGTATCCGGCAGGAAGGTAAACGGCGTTTCTGTGCGCTGCTCTGGTTCGCCAGAAGCGGCTTAGTCATGCTGGCCACATGACCCGGAAGCTGTACGCCAGCTCCCTTGGCCAATAAAGTGAGATGAGCGCCGCAACCCCAGAGTCGGTCACGACTGGACCTAATGGTCAGGGGTCCCTTTACCTTTACCTCTAATGCCTCTTGTCACGTCAAACGCAGACCTTGCCAATGTTCTCAGAAACTTTTCTGCAGGGGCAGAATGCTGTCACCAGACTCATGACTGGGGCCCAGATTTCGCAGAGCAGTTTGTTTGATCTTTATTGCCTCTTGGCCTGTTTCCACATTAAAAGTGCTGGTGGCAGTCATCTTTGGAGAGTCTAGACAGCTGGGGGCAAGAGTCCCAGATGTTCTACCGCTGAGGTATAGTGGAAGAGGCACTGATCCTTGTCCTATCACCATTCATGATAGTGAGCATTAAGACAGGACCTTCTCAGATGATTAATGAGTCTATAAGACAGGGCCTTCTCAGTTGTGGCTCTAAGACTGTGAACCTCACTACCAGTCACCTGATCCCTGTGCTGTCGGGTTTTTTGGTGTCTAAGCCACTTCAGCTGGCCTTAGGGACCATTGTTCTTTCCCCATGTTAAATTGCTAGTGTGCTGCTGTTATTGAAATGTGGGTTTTTGGTTTTGCTCTTCGCTTCTCAACTGCTTTCTATTGGAATGTTGACTATTGCCATTTTGTGTTAAATGGTTATAAGCTGTACTAGGGGGAAGAAGAATGGAGAATGCATTTCAATAGAAACCTACAAACCCACAATCTCACAGGGTGCTAGACATGCAGCTCAATATGTGAAGTGACTCAACCGAAAAGCATTTGTGTGGGTGAAATGTCTATATGTCTTATGCCTATAATGGCTGCTCACAAATGCACACTGAGCACTTCTAACATGAGAAGCAAGAAGTGATGCACTTGCGGGCATGAAGCCATCTAATGCTGAACATCTGTGTCCAGAGCAACAAACCTTTTTAAAAAGTTTTGATAAAAATCTAAGGGAGTCCCATCATGCGATATAGGAGAGAGCATCTGTCATGGTGTAAATATCCTCCAACTGAGTGGTGTTTTCTTTGTTGCAAATCCAGAGATGTTCATTATATTGGTCCAGCCAGAAAGTGCGCATTACTACGTTTTTGCCGTTTTGTAGTTCCTCAAATAAAAGCTTGAGTTAAAGCACTTGCTTTCCACATTTAAATAAGATTAAGCTGTAATCTTCCAGGGTCTTCTAGAAAATCTCATGGCAATTCAGAGTAGCCACTTTTCATTTCTTATTCTAATCTCTGAATATTGCTGTTCAGCCTGCCATCCACAAGCCATCTGCTCTCACGTAGCCTTGGCTTTTCTCTGTAAGGTTGCCAAGCAACTCATACACAGCCTGCCCACCTGATCAACTTAGTTTTGATTCAGGGCTATGCTTTAATCCATTGCTGTTTAGACGATTTGAGGAACCATATTCAATTCCGAAACCCTCTTACTGCTTAGAATTTTTGGGACAGGATGGGTTGAGAGGGATAGAGTGATACTATAGAGTCAATAGAAAAATTGTTAGATTTAGTATTGGTCTTTTTATGATGGCCTGAGATGGATTGCTGGCAGAGCCTATGGGCCATTAATTGTTTCCTCCTCATTTGTTTAGGGAAGCTTTTAATGTTTAATGCTGTATTGTGTTTTTAATATTCGGTTGGGAGCCACCCATAGTGGCTGGGGAAACCCAGCCAGATGGGTGGGGTATAAATAAAGTAATAATAATAATAATTTATTATTATTATTATTAATATTGCACATAATGATAAACCACTGTTGAGCTGCAGCAAACCTTGGGCTTGTGTGCACCCACTCTGCAAAGACAGTGAGGAAGGTTATGGAAGCTTTTGCTCCCATTTTAACAAACCATAGTTATTTCTATTTAAGAGTTTAGAGTTCAACCCTGATACTAAATTGAAGTAATCTAAAACAGAAGGGAAAACTTCCAGTCTCCCATGCCCTTACAACACATGTGGCTTACAACACATATAAAAACATAATAAAACATTAAACATTTTTTTTTAAAAAAAGCTGTCCTATACAAGGCTGCCATCGCATGTCTTCTAAAGGTTGTATATATTTACGTATCTCCTTGGCTCAGGAGTTGCATAACGCCATACCCTTCAACATTTCTCTGATGAAAATAGGGACGTCCTAAGGAAAAGTGGGACTTTCTGGGATCAAATCTGAAACCGGGACGGCTTCTGTAAACTCACGACCGTCCCTGGAAAACAGGGACACTTGCCTCATGGCAATACTAAACAATGGGGAACATGTGAACCCAAGATTTGATGCATCTCACGTTTGTGATAAAGGAGACTGGCAAAGTTCCAAGTGCCGAAAGCATGCGCATATATATATCTATATATATATAAATTACAGAATTGGAAATAGACAAACCATAAATTACTGCACATGTTAAAATTGTGAGTTCTAAAAGTTGGCTTGAATTTATAAATAACAACGTGGTTTGTGATTGAGGCTCATAGATCAAATCCCATTATTTATTTTATTTAAACAATTTGCATCCTCCTTAACACCTTAAGTTTCTAAGCAGTGCAGAATAATACTACAAAAAGCATATGGTGGATAAAACGAGTTAAAATTAATCAGAAAAATGGAAAGCTTACTAATAATGCCAGCTGCAATAGAAGGATCTTCATCAAATGCCCAGATTTCAACAGAAGAGCAGCCTAACTGATCTCAGCAAGGAGAATCAGGCCCACATGGAAGGGGATGCAAGGCTCCTGATGTGTATGAGCTTCACACCTGAGCTATAGTAGTTTTGTGGCATCGTCCAGTGTAAGATGTGGTTCCTGACCTGCTTTTCTGAAGACCCAGCATTTGTATTTGCCTTCAGTTTTTCATTTGTTGTTTTATTTTTTGTATCTGCATTTGTTGTTTACTAAGCTTTGAAGGTGATTTGGTGCGGAAGGTTAACTGTAGCAGATGTAGCTCCGAGATTTAAAAAAGGTCTTCCTATTAAGAGCTGACTAATATTTCGGTTATTGCAACTGTGGGATTGTGTGGAAAATCAATATTTGGAGGGAAAAGGAAATGAAAGCTTGGTTGGGTTAAACACCCTTTTGGTTGACCTGCAAAGGAAATCTTGCTCTGTTCTGCTGCTACATCTTCTTCCAGTTGTTCGTCTCTTGTTTATCGTTCTTCCTCACGCAAGACAACAACATGCAGCCAATCTGCTCGAAGGCTTCCAGTCAATACCGTTAGGAATTCTTTGCTGTTTCTCCACAATTATCTCTGGCAGGAAAAGGATTCGGAAACGGGCTTCTCAGAAGTCAGGGGGTGTTTCCAGCAGGGAAGAGTAAGGCCTGCAGTCATACTAGATTTGATTGCATTGGGACTGGCTGTCGGCCTTTTGATTACAACTTTTCAGTTGCCCATTGTCACAAAATGAAAAATGGTGATTGAAGGCTTCCCTCCCCTTCATTTTTGCTCAATAACCTGTCTTTATATTTGATAGAGCCACAGCCTGTTAAAACCACCACCACCACCACCTGGCTGGCATTAGTTATAATGAACCAAACCAGAGTACTTGTTCACAGAAGATTCCTGAGGTAACACCAGTTCCTTGCCTCCAAGTCTTTTGTCCCCATGCAATTTTTTTAATATAGCTCCAAACCCATGGGTTTCACAGTGTCTTTTTCACATCAAGCACAGAATATACTGTTTGTTTATTCATCATAACATCTCAGGGCAGTTCACAGAATAAAATTCAGGATGAAAACAAGGGGATGGAATATGAACTTCTAGGCCCACAGCCTGAAAATAGGGTGGTCTTCTGCTCCACTTTACAGAGGGTAGTCCTCTGTTTGAAGGACTCCTCTATTTAAAGGACTGATTAGTTGAAGTCTGGTTTTCTGTTAACAATATAAAGAACCATAAAAAGAAGAGTCAGAGGGACTCTGCAGTTGCCCGTGGCCAGTTAACACCTCAGCGGCAGACTGAGCAGGCCCACACATCACCTGGTCATCGTTTTCCCCACTAAGGGGAAATGTATCATATTTCTATTCAAATTACAGCAATTGTTTCTAAATTTGCCTCTGTACACACAAGTTAGTTTATGCCAATGAGCCCTGCTTTTATCACCGATGTATTTCTCGTTTATCAGTGATGCATAAGGCGCAACCCTACTTTTGAGGGAACTCTGCCATGCGTCTGAAGCTATGTTGGCAGACAAACATGGCCGTTCTGCCCTGAAGAATCCAGACGGTGGAAAAGCAACTGGCCGTATTCCAGGGGTGGAGAATGGGGGCAAAACAGGGTTATGTCTGGCGATCAAGATAGGAAGCTGCTCAGGACATTGCCTTTCATAGGCCCCAAAATTCATCTTAAAGAGGACTGCGCACACCAACAGTGGCTGTTTCCAAGGACAACAGACTAGTGTGCAGATGTAAAAACAAAGAGTTGCCCCGAGGTTT